TCTGGAATGCGATAGCTACATGAAAATGATGCTATGCTGATTATAAGATGTATGTCCAAAACTTGACCAGATTACTGATACATCTACAAAAAGGGTCACCAGTGAAAACATCATAATATATTTGCTTGGGTCGGTTCAATTCATCCAATGGATTTGCCCATTAGATTGTTGAATTCGGGTAAAAACTGTAGTAGTGAAATTAAAGCCAGATGGATAGACGTAGACAGAGACATTTTACCCTTTGACAACAAAAATGGACACTGTCCATTATGGGCTAACAATCAGTCTAGCTGGGATTCACGGTCACATCTCAACATCATCATCATCATCACTGTTGACCATCACACTGGATACACAATTCTTTGCTTTGGCAGCAACGGGTCAAATGACTCAGTCCCTACGGGAATCATTATCGTGGGCAAACCAGAAAAAAATACCAGCAAGAAGAGACGTCATCATCGGGCGAAACCAATGTACGAATTCGTCATTGTTTTTGTTTTGTTTTGGCCCGGTTTTATTTTGTTTTGTTTTTTTTTTTTTTTGGAAATTCGATTTCATTTTAGAATGAATACGGCATAGATTTCGGCATCGAATAAAATGGCAAAAATTTTATTCTGTTTGTATAATTGTCTATGGATTGAATTGAATTGAATTGTTTCTATTCTCCAGTAGAATGATGTCACTGAATCCTTTCTATATATAACACAAACACTCATCCATGTTAATGTTATGAGCACTATTATGATGTTTTTGTAGAAAAAAAAGTTTTTACCCATCCACCCATTCAGTTTTTGTTTTCTGTTGTGAATATGAGTTAAAAAAAATCTGAAACAAAATTCAATGAATTTAGAACATTCTGGCTGCCAGGTCAAAGGTCGTACGAACAAAAGAATGCAACAACTTTTTCTTATTCTGTATCATTCATTTTTGTTTCGATCTTAAGACCTATTTTTAGACAATCGGTTTATTACATGAAACGTATGCTTGTGTGTATATGTTGTGTCATAACCAGATGACACTTATCATAATAATCGTACTCATCATCATCATCATCGTCACCATCATCATCATGAAGCAAAGAAACATTTTGTCAAAACATCCTGACCTTTGACTTTTGATTGAAATGTGACGCAAATCATTTCAAAAGTGTTCATGTTTGATGATGATTTGAACATAAGATATATGCATATTCATGAAATATCTGTTGTCCATAATTTTATCCTCGTTTCAAGGTATCTAAATAACAATTGATTTTTAAACGGTCACAATCCTGGAACATAAATAATCATGTCATCATTGTGACCTTTTCATACTAATTTGGATAAAACAAAATCCACCGTTGACCTTTCACACACACACACACACACAAAAAATACCGCATTCTTATCAACATTCCTAGCAAGGTCAACAGAAAGTTTAGGTTTAGAATAAAAGAAGTTTTATCCGTTCGATATATATTGTTTGTTAAATTAATTTTGTATGATTAAAGGCGTATAAATCATAATGGGCCTTTATAGAATCTGAAGCCATAAATCATTTAGTCGTTACACACAAATTGCCATTATTTTCATTTGTTTTCACCAATACTGGACTCTGTTTGTGGACAATAGATTTCGGGCGTAATTATTCAAGAAACTTTTCCAATGGCCACTGATCATAATGCTTGTAGATTGGATTGTCGAATCAAACTAAACTTTTGGCATTGGGTCATCATTCAATCTAAGCAACTAGATTGTTGGCATCAAACACAAACAAATAGCCATTGAGGCAACCATTCTTTTTCTTTCAAACTTGGCAACATGCCAAGCAGATGTTTACCATATGGTCATTTCAGCCTGGAAAACAAACAAGCAAGGATTGTACTTGGTTAGCTTGTGAGAAAAGAGAGAGAGAGAGTATAACTTTCGTAGTGATCGGCTTCGGTGTTTAGGTCAAAGAAACGCGTGCAGTCGTATGTATCCAAATGCATGTTTGATTGGATTCGGTTTTTTAAAAAAAAATTCGACTTTCCCTTTTACAACTTCAGTAGCCAAAATAACACACAAAAAAAATTGGATACACTGTCATTCTAAACTGTCTCAACTGGTTCCAGAATAAAAGAATAAAGACTTGTCTTGGAGACACGTGCCATCCACCCTCAAGATGAGAGATGTCACCCGATGATGATTTTGACCTCTTTTTTTCTGGCCTAACCAATACATACATTAGCATCTTGAGTATGGTGGCGTATTTGTTGCAGATGGTACAGCCAACAATACACTTGGTTGTTTCTTTTTTTTTCTTTCTCTCTCTCTGTTTTTTCATTCATACAATCTGAGTTTGACAACATTGTAAAGTGAATAAAGTATAAATTTAGAATCCAAAATCCGAAAAAAAAGAGTGCAATTCAATTGTAAAGACAACTGGTTTACTCTGGTCGGCTAATCAGACCTATTTATGGAGTTCTTTTTGCTTGTATATATTATTCATATCTACTATGTGGTTAACACTCTTGTGTTGTTTTATGGTTATGATCATCATCATCATGCTATTCATGCCATGATGATCAAAGAACATACCATTTGATTGGTCGCTCATTGAAATTAGCCAACGAACCTCTTTAACCATTCAAATTGTATCGTAAATCTTATTTCATGATGGACACCTATGGACAATATGATTCCATCCAAAATGAGAATTTTCATTTCTTCCAAAACGGTTGTCTTTGACGTGACAAATTTGCTTGTAGTCAGATTATTTGACCACAAGGTAACGGGAATTGAATAAAATGTCCATGCATATTGGCCAGACAATTATATTGATGATGGTCATCATTATCATTATCCATTCAGAAAAAGCCAAATCTTTCTCTCTCTCTGTGTGTGTGTGTGTGTGTGTTTTTTGGCTCGTGCAGGCCAGAAAAAACATACAAACGACAAAAGGCTCTCTGCTGATTTATTGGATCAATAAACATTAAACTAAGCTTTCATTCGTTCATCTAAAACTAAAACGAACTGGTTGCTTGCCTCTAAAAAAGAGAAATCCTTTCTACATATATAGTTGGGTCAACTCGTTGTAGATCCATAAGCGTGTATATAATGTGTGTGTGTGTTTGGTGACATATCTAACAAATGTGATTGACTGTATGGCAGCTGGTTCGATCCAAAATTACCATTCATGTTAATCACGCTAACAATAAACACACACACACACACACACAAAACCAATTTCTGAACGTGTAGATCACGAGCTCTCTCTCTTCTGACCATGGCGCAACAAGTTTTTTATTTTCAATAGGCACGTGGCTAATATTAAAAAAAATATATATAAGCTGAATAGTTTTTACCCAATTGACCCCATGTGTGTGTGTGTGTGTAGGGTTAACGACAACAGGTTAACAACAACGAAAAACGATATATCTATCGTGAAATTTTTAACCATCTCGATTCGATGACCTTTGTGAGACCTGGTTTACAATTATGGCCAAAGTAAAAATAAAAATAAAAGGCGACAGATTGTTACACTGATTCTCAATTCACACACACACACACACACACACACATGAACATTGAATACTATGTCCTTTCATTTTAATCAACAACCAGAATGTGTCATTGAACTTTTAAACATTTTAAAAAATAACACTTTTAAACCTCGAATATTGTGTGATATATATTGAATTTAAAGACTAAACTTATCACATACTGAGCCTGTATATATGTTTTTTTTTTTTTTTTTGCTACAACAATCTACCACCAAGCGTTCAATCGTAAAAAAATCATGAAAAAAACAAATCATTCGATAGAACAACAAAACTAAATGTGAATAAAAATGGGCGAAAAAAAATAACCGAAAAAAAGGAATTGTTTGGCCAAAAAAAAATTGAACCATTTCCTGTTAGCAACCAATATATACAGATACCAGATACATATAGACATACACACACACACACTTGATGAATGCCATCAAAGTCGTAGATCCAAACCAGATTCGGGAGTAAAACTAAAATTCCACTTTCTCATTCATCATTGCCATGTATCTGTGTGTGTGTGTGTGTGCGTGTGTGGCAATATCCAACCGCGATTTTTTTCGTACGCAGCAATTTTTTTTCTTTCTTTTTTTTTGCTCCTGTGATCAACAGAAAAAAAACTCGATCACGACCGAATGACAGCAGTTTGGCCAATACTGGCTTAACAGAAAAAAAACCGAAACAATGAATACAATCAAATTATCACCCATGAATCGAGCTTTATTCTCGAGAGAATGAATAAGAAAAAAAAACGAAGAAAAATAAATTTCGCCCAGTAAAAAGCTTGATTCAATTTTGCTTCACTACCACAATGGTGGTTGAGTGAACCATCCTGTCAATTAGGTATTGTAAACACAAGTGTTTGTTATAATCGAATTTCTTTGATCAATTCTCGAATAAAATTGTTTCCTAAACAGAAATGCATTGTTTTGTGTGTGTGTGTGTGTATGTGTGTGTGTGTGAAAAGACAATAACGAATCTGCAAATCTATTTCCGATTCTCTACAAACAAAAAAGACAAACATATTCCGATCGGAAGTAAATTGTTTTGGTTGATACAATAATGATGATATATAATTGTTTTGGTTTGCCCCCAATCAATCAATCAATCAATCATTCAACCATTGGCTTCAATCAACACTTGGCCAAAGAGAATCATAAACAATTCATGGTCATAGTGTAAAGTGAAAAGATCTCCAATACTGTGATAGAGATATATTCGAACCAGATTCTTCGTCATTTTGGTTGTTCATTTAATGACCTCATCATCATCATCAGCCTGCATGTTGTTGAATCAAAGCTTATTATTGTCTATAGCCACTGTGTAATATTTTGATTGTTTGGCGGCAGAAATGCGATGAAACCATCATTGCCATGACCAGCCGATCTCTGTGGTGGGTCTGGCTTTTTCTAGTCATACAAAATAATCGATGTGTTTTTTTTATTTTTATTCTATTTCAATCAACAGATATCGGAATCATGTCAAATCCACCTACATCAATGCTATCAGTAAATGACAATAATTCAGCCTTGATCGATACGAATAATAGGTCATGGTCGATGATGCTTGGATCACCTTCATTGATGCCGTTGACACAGCCAGCAACTAGCACTACTATGGAATCTGATGAAGAGAATCCAATAGCTGATCTTATGTCTTTGTATTCACTTCCTGCCACATCTTCGTCGACAATGTCACAGTCGGATCAGCATCTTCATTCTATGCTACTAATGGCAGCAATGCATCATCAGCAACAACAATCTTTGGCATCGATCCCTACAAATGTTGCTACATCATCTGGATTGGTCACAACGCCAACCCTCAGAACTAGTCGAACAACAAAGTCACCAAAATCGATTGCCTTTGATAAATACAACAGGATCTTCGTCCATTAATCCAGCAGCTTATCAGCATCCAATTCTTATGATGCGTATGATGATGGGTAATCCTTCATTTTTGGACCATCTAACAGCACCTGCCACATCTACGTCAAGTGGATCGATACTTTCACCACCAAACTCGGTAAATGTAAATAGAATAATTTCATCTCAGTCGGAATCAACTACCGAGTGCAAAGAAGCCGCTGAAACAACTGCACTCATGTCACCAGGCATCGAAGAGCCATCAACCACGACGACCACTATCAAGTCTAGTAAATCCTCGGCCAAACCTAAATGTGCTAAGCGACGACAGCGTGTTGTAAACGGAACTGGAAAGTCCCGTCAGTTGACCAAATGCTATTCAATCAATCGTCGCTTGGTCGAATCGACCGTGTCGACTACATCAATTGCTTCGAATGTTGATCAGGAGTCATTATCAGACAATCGATCTACGAATCCTATTTATCGATGTCATCTCTGTCCGTACACCGGAAATTCCAAGCTTCACTTCAATGCTCACATGAATACTCATTTTGATCATCGTTGTCCTCATTGTGACTATACATCGCGAACCGAAGGACGCCTGAAGCGTCATATACGAGATTTTCATTCTGAAACACCACCCGAAACCTGGACTGGTAGCGGACGATTGTTAGATGAATCGCTTGAAGGTGCTGAATTAATATTTGATCCGGATGGATGCATGGAAATGTCGGCCGGTGGCAATGGACCAAATCCTGCTCGAAATCGAAAATATCGTTGCAAGCAATGTGGCTATGTGGCTATGGACAAACACGATTTCTGGGAACATTCCAAGGATCACATCAAATCAGATCGTATGCTGGCATGTCCGAAATGCAATTTTGTTACCGAATACAAGCATCATTTGGAATATCATTTACGTAATCACTTTGGTTCAAAGCCATTCAAATGTGCCAAATGCAACTATAGCTGTGTCAACAAATCGATGCTTAATTCGCACATGAAATCACATTCAAACATTTATCAGTACCGATGTGATGATTGCACTTATGCCACCAAATACTGCCATAGTCTCAAATTACATCTTCGCAAATACAAACATCAACCAGCCACTGTGTTGAATTTGGATGGCACACCCAATCCATATCCGGTCATTGATGTTTATGGCACACGAAGAGGACCTAGACCTAAAAAACCAATTGCGTCATATACAACATCAAAATCAATTAGGTCCAAAGTAATTAAAAAAAATAATGAATCAAATAAATGTAAAGTGGCCACTCAACCAAAAGTTGATAAGTTGAAAAACATGGCTACATCATCTTCGTCGGTCGATTTGAACAACAAAACACGACCACTTGAAAATACTGCATCACAATCAATCAATAAATCGAACGACCATCATGACAATGAAAATGATGATAACGAACAAGCACAGATTACCTATCTCCGATGTAATTATTGTTCTTTCCAGACAGAATCGAAACCCGAATTCAGTAATCATATGCTAAACCATGTGGTCAAAGAAAAATTGTCATTGCTTAACAACAAACGTAAGCACTTGCAGCAACAACAACAACATCAATCAATAAATGATCACAGTGAAGATCAGAAACAGCCAGATCAAAATGGTGATAAACTAGTATCTAATGATCTGGCGCTTGATCTTAGCAAACAGGAATCACAAGACCAGCTCCAAATGAAATCCAGTCAGGATAACCCATTTTCATCGTTGCTACAAAATTTCCTTGAACACCAACAACAATCACAATCAGAACAAGCAGATATACGACTACCGGTGACGACGACCAGACAATTTATACATAAAAAACGCAAAGGACAAGCTCGAAAATTACTTCCGCCTTCTGCTACCACACTGGATCTCATATCCGAATCGGAATCAGTTTCCTCATTGCCATCTTTATCCCCCTCTTCCTTTGATTCTAGCCCTACACCGACCAAAGAGCCTGACGATGATGAGGACGAATCGATTCGATCAGACGATATTGTCGTCGATGAACAAATGATTGATCAGGACGATCATAACATGGATGATGAGTCACAACTTTCGGAAACATCGATAATGGATGATTTGCCATTGTTAACAAATACATCTTTAACCAACGATCAAATTCAATTGTTTGATTTTTACAATCATCAACAACAACAACAAAATGGAACGGACATCCAACATCCACTTCCACCAACGCCAATCAAATCACCTGAAGCCGATGACCAAGCCGTATTCAATTTTGACATGACAATCGATGACCAAAAAAGTGACTGCCACAATATTCGCCCCATAGGTTCGACAATGCCCGAATGTGATATAACTCAACTAAAACCTGCATTAGTTGCCGCCCTTAATGATTCTTCAATGGTACAACCGCTGCTTCAGTCCAACAGTAATTTAATGCAGATGTTAATGCAATTGCTTTCTACATCAGCCAGCAATACTTGTTCCGCTACACCTTCTTCGTCGTCATCAATGTCACTATCATCTTCCTCCTCATCTTCAAAAATAAATGATTCGAAAGCTATGGCAGCAATCATTTCAAAGGGTGTTGGTTCGTCGGCATCATCATCATCATCATCATCATCTTGTTCTAAGTTGCCCGACGCTATGACTGCCACCACGATATCATCTTCGTCGAATGGAGAATCTATTCAGAGCATTGATTGTTTAGCATCATGTTCCACTAGCAACCAAGAAGCTGATACGATCGCCACTAATCTTAACAGTGCAACAGCGGCAGCAGCTTTAGCTTTGGCAACTACATCCTCATCGACGCCCAACGAATCTCTCACTAATGTAAACAGTCTGATCACAAAAATGCATTCAGTAACATTTCTGATGCAAGAGATTCTTTTAGAAATGTGGTCGATCAAAAAGTGAAGACTTATGCAACGTCCATTTGTAAACAAATTCACCCAAGTCACAAATCATTTCATTTTTTTTCTTCATTATGAATGTATGCAAATCACTGTCTTTGCTGATGATAACAATAAATTTTTTTCCTACATTTTTTTGTGTTTTTGTCTATATTAATGAATAAAATCAATGTTTTCAAATTCTTTAATCATTTTTGTTTAACATTAATAAAGCAAAATTTAATGTTTGAATTTAATCATCAATAATCACGAAATAATTATTCCAATCACCATAGAAGTGTCATCTGTTGACGACCATTCGAATTTGAAATTGATAATTGCACCAATGTATTAAAGACATGATCATAGAATTTTTATAGAATAGAATTAGGTTTTTCTACAAAGAAAGACAATTGTGTGTCATTGGAAACAATAATTTGTATTTTTCTTCGATTTAAAATGTAGCCCAGAATATCAAAAGAATTGGCAGCCCTATTGTTTATTAGAGAAAAAATACATTGATTGAGAACCCATGATCTAGAATTGTGTGCGTTTGACAATATAACCTAATAGGTCTAACTATGTACAATCATTGAGAAGAGAAACAAAGAGAAGAATTATGCCCTTATACCAATAGATAGGAACTAAAACTTTGTAAACCAGGAATAAAGTAAAAAAGTTCAGTAATGAAAACAGTATCGTTCGTCGGATGAATCCTCGTAGCAATCGATGACATGATCACAAAGCTGTTGTCGTTTTAGACATTTTCCCAGTGGACATCGATGACCGCTTTCACAGGCTTTATCATGCATCGCCAAATTGTTTCCTGGCCAGTGTGGTTTATCCACTTGTTTTCCTGTCACCAACATGGTTGTCTTAGGATTGGATTCGTATCCATGACCGACACGATAGCCTTTAGCCATGATAGAATGTATCCAGGTCAAGTAATTGTATACTTTTGTATAAACACCAGGACGACCAGCACGACCACAACCATCGCCATTGCTGGTTATGCCCAAAAGAATCCATTTACCATTTGCTTTCTGGCACATAATAGGCCCACCACTATCGCCCTATGTGTGTTGATAAGTAGGATAAAAAAAAAGAAGTTATCAGGTAATGTATACATGAATCATGGTATCATACCAGACAGGCATCGCGACCTCCATGTTTGAAACCAGCACAAAACATATTATCAGTTATCTTGTACAAAGGCAAAAATAAAGTCCGTTTTCTGCATTCCTCAGTCGAGATGATAGGCAATGTAACTTCTTGCAAAGTATCCGCTATCAAATTAAGGTCAAATTTTTAGTATGAGTATGATTAACATGATTTGTAACTTACGGAATATACGCCCGTTTTCATACAATTTACCCCAGCCGACTGTCGTGCAGAGTTGATTGTTCCATCGGCCAATGTGACTGTCTTCCGCATCCGGCAAACATATGGGTCGGATGTATTTACTGGAAATGAAAGGAAATCATTTATTTTTTTCTACCATCGCTTATCATTGTCGTTGTATGATGATTGATGCCTACCTGTATTGCAAAGGTCGATCCAGATGAAGCAGAGCAATGTCGTTAATGAATCCTCTATCCACATAATCTGGATGAATAAACACACGGTCAATACGACGAATTTCCTCGTACAATGTTTTTTGTAGACTTCCACGTCGAAGGACGCCACTTCGTGCTGTCCAAAATGCACCAGGTGTTCTAGGAACAATTTTTACATTTGAAAATAGATGATACACAAATTAAAGCTACTTACGAGTAAAAACAGTGGGCGGCTGTTAGCAGCCATTGGGAATCAATGACGACGGCACCACATTGAAATTCTCCTTCACGATACAAGGCTACTTGCCATGGCCAAGATCCAAATGATGATGAGTGGCCACCGATAATCCGCCGTTGAAGTTTAGAACTCATCGGCCGTATACCGCATTCTGCAAGATTATAGAAATGATTAAAAGCAACATTTGATTATAATGACTCACCTATGGTCGAGCATTCGATTCGAGCCACTTTGTGTCCTGGACATTCAACCTTTTCAAACAGACTGCTCCAACTAACCATATTAGAATCCAGTCAATAGAACTTAACTCATTAGCAATAATGGCTAACTTACAGTGATAATGCTGGCTTGGAATTACTGGGCAATTGAGAGTTGATGGCAAAAAATCTTGTCAGATTGTGAAGCGAACTATTTTTCTCAATGGTTACAATGTCGATTTTTTCAAGTTGGACATAGTAGTTAGCTTTGCATACAGCCTGACCCATGTCATCAATTTGAATCATTGACGATATCGATATGGAGGTGGCATTTCCTTCGACGCTATCATTTTCGTAACGATGATCAATCCAATTGTCGGAATCCAAATCATAAGAATCGAAACAAAGAGGTGCCCATACACCTTGATGTTGAATATGGAGCACACCTTTTGGGTTATGATTATCCATGGAAAAATGAATGTTTTTATCTTGCATTTGTTCTTGATCGTCGACTAGTGCGATACAATTCTGTTCATCATCACCATTGAGGCAATCATTGTTACCATCACATACTAGGGACTGTTCAATGCATTGATTTGATAATCCATGGCAAACAAACATGCCCTCTCGACAACGAGGACCACAAGTAACGGTCTCGTCACTGAGATCAGCACAATCGATTACACCATCGCAAAGTTTATGTCGATGTGTTTCATCACGAAGCAGGTAATCAGCACAACGACATTGTAGTTCGTCTGAACCATCTGAACAGTCAATGATACGATCACAGATTGCTTCAAATCGTACACACTGGCGGTCATGACTTGCATTCAAACAAGCGAATTCGTTCACTTTACATGTGATTCTTGGAGCAGCTGTTGTCGTCGTTGTGGTTGTTGTCCTCATAATTGGTCTGGGAACTATGAAAAAAAAAGAAAAAATGTGAAGTTAAATTAACCAGAATGGAATGTTCACCTTTATCGATGGAATTGTAGTAATAGAAGGAGCCATGAAGAGCATTACTAGCGTGACTAGATTTATTATGTTTACTATGGTTGTTCAGCTTCTTCGATATTCGTGTTCCGTATGCCAACACAGGAATCGGTGACTTAAACACGGAATCGTCTGTCGTATGATCAGTTGGCAGATCGGTTGGAATTGGTGTTGTAGATTCGAGCTGAGTGAATTCATTCTCAATGATAAACAAGGCTGCTACATGGTCCGTTTTATTTGAAATGATGACACTTGAATTTGTAGGTGTAGCTGTAGAAATTTGTTCATCCATGTCAGAAAATGGCTTTAATTTGAATTCATTTTCTATACCATCATCGCTGTCGTAATCATCAGTGATATTGACAGAATCAAGCAATGTCGAAACAGTATGATTCGTATTACCTAATGAATATAGATCGAATGAATCTTTCGATACGATCAGAATCTTATCGGTCGAGTTTTTGTTAATTTTGACTTGAGAATCGATAGCTGCCATGGTAGGTTTACTGCTGATAAGAAATCCATCGATTGTGTCATTTTGTGACGAAAGATTCCATTGGTCTAAAGTAGATTGAGTTTGAACTACATTCAGCACCTGGTCATCAGAATCTTCTCTAGACTCAGCTGGTTTATTTATCGTTGTTTCATGACCTAAAGTAATTATGTCTTGGAAAAATGTAGTCATATTGTTCATCAAGACCGAATCATCACTGGCGATGGTGGTCGTTGGTTTTGTTGTCCATTGACTAGAAGTATCATTTTGCTCAACAGGATTTTCTGATTTGGACATTGTTGTTTGCGTAACTTTTGTTTTCGTAACATTGTTGACATCATTATCATTGGTGGTGATTTTATCATCAGTCTTGACGATCCAAGGTTTGTTTGTAGTTGGCCATGCGTCCTCGATTGAAACTTGTGAAATCGATGCAGTCTTATTTGAGCTATGTAGAGGCGAATATATAGGCATAAAATGTAAATCCAATACAGTCATTGTTTGCGTGCGTGTTGATCAGGAAGCAGAAAACTTCCATTATTGACAGTGTATGCAAATGACTACTTACCTAGATTCAATGGTCGTAATCATTTCTCGGATCGGTTTTAATGTGGTTGAGATCTCGATATTCGTAAACGATGTAACCGTCAAATCTTCCAAACTCGGATTGGCAGTAGTTGTAGTTTTGTCATCTACATAAGAATCAAGGTGTTCTGGTAACTGATGTTCATTGTCCACTCTATTGATCGATTCGGGTTCATAATTGATTAGATTCTCCAATTTTCGCTTCAATCGCTGCCGATACTGAGGTTCAGTCAAGCGTTCAAATGTAGACAGCTTGATTGATTCGACATCTAATTGTAATGAATGGTCGATGGTTGCGTTTGACCATTGCTGTCGAAATGAATTTGACAATACCTGTTTGACTCTAGTCATAATGACTTGATCATCGAGTAACACGTTCTCAATAGTACCGAAATTAATGACCGTTTTTGATTTTTGAATGGCCAAAGCATGATCCATTGGAAGCTTTTGTGCATAGAATCGGAAAAATACAAGCAAACTACCTTGGCGAAACGTATAGATTTCCGTATAAAGCAGGGAATCAGCCAACAAACTATGACGCAATATATGCTCCATCTAATGCCGACAAGTCAAGAAAATGAACAAATCATGGAAACTTGAATAAAAGTAGAGATACTTACGATTCGTTCATAACGTGTGGCTTTGCGGCGAAATTCAGATGACGTTTGATTCAACAATCGAATGGTGAAAGAATCGCCTGAGACGATGCGAAAATTTCCACTCATGCCATAAGCAAATGTTTGCTCAGTCAATAAATTTGTTACGATGGCCAAGTATAAAGAAAAGCCCAGAACAATAGACAACGATAATAGAATGATTGCTACTAAAACAATCAACAGGCAACATCCACACGAGCGAATGAGACCATAAGACTTCGAGGATTGACTATCATGAGCATGGCCACATGACCATGAGGGTCGATAATGTCCGTTACCTATGAATGGATATGTCCAAATGAATGTTCGCCGTCTGTGGTCATTGGATTGTTGGCCATAGTGGTCATGGTCAGCATCGATCATTGTAGAAGTGCATGTCGATGAGGAAGATGAACTCGTCATTGATGATGTCACCTCTAATCGTGGCTGTGACGATGAATCCAGGTGTTTCGTTTTAGCCATAGACGTTGATTCGCCAAGTGAATCATTGATGATGCGGCCATGCTCATCTTGAACGAAAGAGCCAATCACATCAATAGAGTTTGATCGCTTTTTCATGAATTCATTAATGGTATTCCCAGTAGAAGTATAAGGCAGATAATCGGTAGGAAATCGACATTTAGTAAAGGAAAGATCTAATCTTCCAGGAGCCTGTTGGATAGATAAGTTACAATAAAACCGTGTGCGATATGGTTTTTTTATTGTTTATTTTAGTTTCTGTCATGGCATTAATTCTAATATAAGTGGTCGAAAAAAAAATAAAGATGAACATGCACATACTCAGTAATTAGCTGCTTTCAAAAAATGTAAATATTTTATGATGAATCGATGGTAATTAGTATACTAATAACATCCAATCATCTGTTTTTATTGGCCTCCAATTTCAAAACGATCATTTCTATTCATATGTCAACTCACGATTATAATCATTCATGGATAGAATGCTATTCAATTGTATGTCATAATCAAAGATGCAATCGTTCCAAAACAAAACTTTACCACAATCATCAGCGACAATTGTTTGCCAACGCGTAGATGATTTGAATACATAGAGAAGTAAAATAAGCAAACTTCTATACACTGTATGCATTAATGGATGAATGAATGGATCGCACATCATATTCAATTCGATTCGATTGGAGTGTGAAAGTCATCCAATGCAATCTGAATGATGTTCGATGATCGAACCAAACTAAACACAAAAAGCATCCTATACCTTTTATAGTCAAATTACTGTTTTGTCGCTTAATCATAATGGCAATCATGTTTTGATTTGATATGACGGCTTCAAAATCTCACAGGCTCACATTGGTCATGAAAGGATTAATCAGTCCGTGGTGGCAAGGTCATTGGCAGTATGACATTTTCAGCTAAATTATTATGAATGTCGTCATCATTATGTGGGAATAATGGTCTCGATGACATCTCATAATGAGTATTTACAATGTTCATTCTATTGTTGGCATGAGAACGAGGAAATCATCAACAAACATTGATCATTGATTATGATGAGACAAAATTAATTAACAATCCTATATATTAAGTGTGACCCAAACAAACCAGAATATATTGAAAATTCAATGTTGGCCCAATCAATGGCTGCTTCCGCAACAAATGATGGGCTTATTGCCAATGACATTCGATACAATTGGTTATCACAAGATTGAATGGTCGATAATAAAATCGACATGTTCCGACCGAGTGAACAGCAAACACAAACCTGATGATGTTTGACGGCAGTTGATAAATTCGGATATGATCGATGATTATTAATATCCAGGTTTTCCGATTTAATTAAATTGTAACTGGCCGATGTGGATGGTGGATTTAAAAATCGGAGTATTGAACCTTCTAGATCATGATCAGGAGCGTTCGATTGTTCATTAGCAATCGTATGATGATAATCTTGGTGATGGTGATATGTGTAACCAGTGTCAACATTATTTGCTAGACTAAGATGATGGTTATTCGAAACAGATGATAATCCCGAATGAGAACATGGCTCATTGATAGAATGGCTAATTGGCCATTCTCGACTATTATTTGATAATGGATCGAGGCGTGAAGATAAACATTTTCGGTTTGAGTTATCGTTGACCAGAATAACACTCTTCATTTCTTTCACTTAGCTAAAAGCTGATGGTTTGAATTGTCAATGAATGAGCAATGGATTCACAATTAGCATTCAGTCACATGGCTATTTTACACAAAATATCAACACAGATTCACATAAACACATTCAAAATAAAAATTTATTCAAGTGATCAATCGGAACTATAAGATCGATAGATAACTTCTTAATGTAACCAAACTATATGTACACTGGATTGATTGACTGATGATGATGATCACTCACTGAATACTGAAATCAAATACAACCGATATCACTCGGTTTCGGTTGGAACTGTCGGTTCCATTTCATGAAGAAAATTTCTCTCTAAAATAAAACAACAAGTTGTTCGTCGCAGCTGTTGGCGCTTATTCGTTTGTACATCATCAAAATTATGTGTGTATATACAGCATCACTGGTTGGCATTGAATGAACTTGTTCACTGACTTGTCATCGAATTGGCCATACAAACGATCCATTCCTCATGTCGTCCAACATACAACATCGAAATGAAAAAAAAATACAGAATATACCTACACACCGACACCAACACGAACATCACGACGACGACCACGAATACTTGTCAGATTAGCTATAGCACACCTGTGTGTGAGTATGTTTGTCTGTAGAATCGTTAAAAATAACCAGCAAGCAAAACATTCTTTGCTCTTCTATGCCCTTTCATTCGCCTGATTGACCAGGTTGTTTTTTTCATTGTCATCACTAGGGTTATATCATTCAATCGGCCATCACCTAGCGCCTGCTCGAGGTAGTTTAATGAAAGGGAAATGGGATGTTCTGTTCGTAATAACCAGTTTGTTGAATAATCACTTGCCATTAGCGAATAGCTTTCGCTTATTGAATCTATTTTTGACAACACATATATGGCTAAATGTTATCAGCAACTTTTGGTCAAATTGATTGTGCTATTAAATTTTGTGATCAATACAATGATGGATAAGCATCAATTTAAGGTGAACTCAAAGACAAGGACTTGTGAATTCTAAATTTAATTCAATTCATACAAAGTCAAATTAAAAAATGGATATTATAAATGGTCCAATAATTACAATGATGGCGTGGGTGAATTCATTTCCTGATTACATGATGAAGTTCAGACGCGATATCTCATATTACACATGCACTTTGTTTGACCATGTCTTTAGGACGCCAGGTGCCAATCACTTGAATCATTTATTTAAAGACCAGTATGCACCTACGTATGATATCGGTCGTCGATGTTGTACATCTTGGATCATTAATGATTCTTCATTTCTGACTCTGAGAATTCAATAAAACATGACTTTCTCTCATTAGATATGGGAACACATGGACAGTTTGTTCATGGTATAATGAAATGAATTGAATCGAGCGTGTAATAGCCACCATGACCATCAATAGGGCCATCATTCATATTGACAGTATTTCGAAATCCATCAAATGATAAGCTCTTACATATGGCCTTATCTTGCCTCAGGCATACACATAACATCCGAGGCAATGACCAGTTTGACTTGAAGATTTGAATAATTTATTCTGCTACTATCATCATTAAATCATAGTATGATGACCTTTCTCAATGAAGCCTTGATCAATGCAGATATATTAAATTGATTCTTATAATCGTCGAAAGAATTAATCATTCAGCGTTATGTAGAATGTGTTTGGCTAGGCTTATCTATCATAGAAAATAACAATGGCTATCCGATCTGGAAAACAAATATTAAAATCGAATTTACAAAATTCGAAAATTTCAAACAGATTTAATTCGACATTCAATCCTGACTTATTGTTTGATTGTTCATATTTTTGGTTGAATTTTTATTACATGAAACGTTTCAGCTAATGGAATAGCCATGATCGAAACATCATCTGACGAGGAGCCAGACAATAATAATGATCGTTACAGTGATACGTCTTCATCATCCATATCATTTGGTTTAATAAAACCGGAACAATATTTTCTCTTGAAAAAATGGTCAATTATCATATGGACCGTGTCTACAGTGCTCATACAATTGTTTCAGCTATTCGTTGCTCTTCGTATGCCAGGATCATCGGCTCAAGAATTGCATAAACGATTCTCTCGGATTGCAATTCATTCCATTCAGGTATGCATAATATTTAGATTTACATTTGTGTCTTAAATCTAACCGGATTTATTTTTCATAGCGTTATGTAGTTATATTGGCACTTTGTTCCAGTTTGACCGCCATCTTTTTCAACACGATTGGACTGTTGGCTGCCATTATCGATAATTATAATCTAACTTTTATCTATTTACTTTATTCCATTCTGGATACAATGTTCATCATGGTAATTAATTTTGAGATCAGTTCATATTACCTAATCACCTGTCTCATTCATTGGTCTATGATTGGCCTCATCATGCTTTATCTGCTCGATCTATATGATCAATTTGTTCCAATATTCAACATATGATCACTGTTATTTATTTATCTTTTTCATTGTAATATTTCATTTCAAATTAAAATGAAACAAATAAATTCAATATTTTTAAAATTCCATCTTATCCGTACTCATCTCAAGGCTAATGGTGTGTGTGTGTGTCATCATCATCAAGTTTTTGTTTATTCATCAACATGCTGATGATCACTAGGATTTTGGATTGACTAATTCCATAATCGAACATAATCAATGACGCCTTGTGATTTATTCAATTTTGATCAATTGAATGGTTAATGAAAAAGATCGTCCACAAGGATTATTATATTGATGGGTGACGTCTATTTGATTACCGTCGTTGTCATCATGATGATGACAGCCACAAGGCCAATGACTAATTGAATGAAGTGATCATCTCCACTTCTCTCTCTCTTTCATTCATTCGTTTTTTTCCCATTTCGGTGACACTCGAATGCCAATCACACAATTGTTCATTTGATTTATATATATGTGTTTGTCCATTATGAATAACTGTAGACGAATTTATCATCATAGGATTTCACAAAAACTAACTAAGAGGCTTCGAATCAAACATTTGGCTACGTAATAAAATTGAATATTTCAAATAAAATAAAGAGAGATATATATACTATTGCTGTTCATTGGTATGATTAGCTTGTAACTTTGTGATGTATGTGTGTGATCAACAAGGATCGAACCTGAATGATGATGATGATGATCATATTGCTTAGACATTGATGATGGATTTTTTTTAATATTTAAAAAAAAAATTATCATAGATATAGCATTACGGTTACTACCGTCGTTACGTTACTGATTGACATTGGTGTTGCCGCTGTTAATCGATGATGATGATGATTGATTCAATTGCTGCAGCATACACCAATCTGTTTCTAAAAAAAAAAAAAATAATCGGAAACAATAATAAGATGATTAGTATACAGCAAGAAAAATATAATGATTTGTTCATTATTGTTTGTATGATAATCATTAGCTTTATGCCTTTCTATGCTCATCGTATATATTGAATATATTCATTTATAAAACAGTGACCACTGTCCAATCCTTGAATAGCAAACATAAATATGATGCAGCGATCATTCATTATTCATTCTCTCTCTCTTTCAACTTTTTAGCAAATAGACAAAACAGCAATTGACAAGATGATAGACAACGAAATAAAAAAAAACATGGCCATTCAATTGTTTGTCTCATACGAAGATTTATTTTATTAATTTAATGATTATAAGTATATTATGATGATCAAAATCGATGGGTATGTTGATGTATTGCAAATTGCAAATCAATTCTCTTAGCACCAATCGATGAAATCAAATGAATAAATGGATAGAATTATATAAAAATACAAACCTTTTGACGATTAAAATTTGCATCATGTTGTTATTGTTGTTGTTGTTGTTGTTGTTATTGCAATGTTTTGGTATAACCAATGATTGCTATCAATCACTATGATGACAATTCAGCATTCAATTAAATGGACAAAAACAACCATCAATTGATTATATTCAAGAAATGAAAAATTCACCATTCGATTCATGATTGCTGGATATTAAGTTAAGAAATACATTAATTATTTAAAAAAAAAGATTTTCAAGTTTTGATAAAAAAAAATTTCAATTTTAATATCATTCTTAGTGGATAGATGACGCTGGAAGCACCAATTTAAATGACGTTTCATTTCGAATAAATAAACAAGTGCTGACGCCTATGAATAGTGTTTATGAATGATTTTTTTCTGGTTGCTCAAACCGCTCAATGCTATCGATCACATAAACCCAATATTGTGTTCTTGTATTGTGTTCATATATATGCATGCTTTATTCTGTTCTGGTCGTTTATATTAAAATTTTAATTCATCATTTTCGTTCCTTTGGATTTTAAACTTATTGTGTATTGTAATTTATCCATCATCGAAGGTAAGTCAATTAATTAATTTCATTTTTATGATGATTATTGATTGTGGTGATCGATTGCCATCGAATTTATAAATTTCAAAATTTTTTCTTGATTGCTACCATTGCTAACTAAATTATCGTATACTCATAAAAAAATCGATTTTAATTGATTGAAACCATTGAAAAGTTGTTGCAAATTAATTTTGTTTTTCCGCTAACTATTTTTTCCAATATAATCAACCAATTATTCCATTGTTACAGACAACGATACATATATGATGGTGATGATCATACAAGATCAACAAAAAAAAACATGCATAGAAAAACTGTTTTAAATGTATCGATTTGATGATGAATTTATTCTTTTTGTCACTACTGATATTGGTGGCCAACGGGTATTGCGATTATATAAAATTATGGCCCCTTTAATTATTAAGAATTTCTTACCTCAATCTTTGAGTTATGGTTTTATGGGCTATAGTAATTGTGTTGGTTCATTGATTCGATTCGAATATAATGTGAATATATTGATAATAAATATGCCCGGCGAACATTTTTGTTCATTCTGGATAAGAGAAAAGTGATTTTGAAAACTTTTTTTCGGAAACGGAATTATATGCTGCAGATAAATTTGTTTCAAAATTTTGTTTGCCTATTGTGTCTAAAATAATATCGTTCACATGGATAATAAATTACGAATGCTAATCAATTGCTTCTCACTTCTATTTCTTTAGCCGAAATTATATCAGGTATTGAATATATAGTTTTTCTTGATTTGATTTGAACAAGCAATCATGCCACCAAGACGAACAAAACGTAAATCGGTAACAACGGCCAAAACATCACCGGCAAAAAAAATTAAACAAATTGTTGAAGATGAACAAGAAGAATCAATGTCCATGTCACGTGATGAAGATGGTGAAGAAATAATCAAGGAAGTGGCCAACGTTGACGATGATGATGAGGTTTCGACAATGAATATTCGAGACGACATCAAAGAGGATTCTATTCAACCAAATGGAATGAACTATACAACAGATGAAATGAATCAACATGATGACGAGGACGAGGAAATTGATGATGGAAATCATCATAATGGTAACGATAATAATGATGATGCCGAAGATGATGATAATGAAATTGAAATTAAAGATGAGCTAAAAACACCGAAAAGCAAAAGTAAAACGTCGGAAACTAAATCGAATTCCGATTCGAAATCAAAATCATCACCAAAAAAAGGATCAACATCATTATCATCATCGAAAAAAGAGGATAAAGAAATGAAGAAAAAATCCTCAGGTAAATCCACTGGTAGTAGTAGTAGTAGCAAAAAACATGAAAATGATTCAAAGGACAAAGATTATGATGATTCCTATTTCAAACGAATGCATCGTAGAGCACAGGACAAATTTCATGATCCAACGGATGAAGGTAAATTTTTTTTTTGCTTTAAAAATTGATTTTAATTTAAAATGTTTTTTTTTATTTTATTGCTAGAACTTTTTATTGAAAACCTTATGAATAATATAAAGGGAAAAGAATTTAAATTATGCAAATATCGACATTCATCCGCCTGTATTGTATGGTTATTGGAAAATATGAATGACTTTAATAAATCAAAAAAAATTATCGATAAAATATCACCAGAATTATTTACGATTGATTGGACAACCGATGTGAATACACATGCTGTATTGGAAAGTATTTATGATATACTCATGAAAGAATTGGCAAAACAGAAAGATTTGGAGACTGATACTGCTAAATGGATTCTTAAATGGATGGATGGTGTGGCTAAATTTGTCATCGATAATCTTAAGTCGTTTCTGAATGAATCTACTGAACGTGAGAATCATTTGTTGATCACAACTATGGAAGCATTGGGTGGTATTCGAATCGGCCGTGGTTGGAATCGAAAAAATATGCGTTTTGGTAATGGTATGTAGATTGTTGAACATTTGTCACTGTCATGATAATTTATACAAAAATAATCAATATATAGCTGCTGGTGCTAAAATCGATCTCGAAGCAATGATTTCAGGCGATATGATCATCAAAGAAATACCACAATCTTCGAAGCATTTCCTTAAACGTTTAGCCAAAGCTATCGTATTGGATGCATCCGATGATGAATGTCGTGAATTAATTTTCTCGCGCTGTACCAGTGTGGGTCAATATTTATTGTTCATATTGAGAGTTCGTTATACGGAATTATGCCAAATGGTCGTTAAAAAATTGGTTGAAATTGTTTTTGCTACCAATGAGATTCGGGATCAGATTTGTCAATCAGCTAATGGAGCTTATATTGTGGAAATTATGTTATTGGTGGCATCCGAATCACGGTTGAGTAAAATTTGGACTAAATATTTGAAGGTAAGCTAGATTTAAATTTTTACCCATCTAATATGAAATTTGTAATTTTTTTTATAGAGCAATTTGAAATTATTCTGGAGGCATGAAATTTCTCAATTTATCATCCAGCGTTTGATTGATGCTATAAAAGACGAGAATCTGGTTAGTTTTTTCCAGTAAGATTTATTTTCGATTGACCATTTTTTGTTTTGTTCTACAGTTTAGCGATGTTTCTCAGGATTTGTTTCCTGATCTCAAAGAATTATTTCAAATAGGCCGTTCTGGTATTGGAGTTTGTTTAGCCAAGAATTGTCATGATCAACCAAAAATGCAAACACCATTGGTGACAGCAATGATGAAAGCGTTTGATTCTTATGAACCAAAGGATAAACAATTGAATGTAGTGCCACAGATGTTATTCTATGAACCATCACCAAATTCGGATCGTCGCGATTCGCATAGCCGACGAAATTTTGCCAATCAAATTTGGCTATATGGATCATTGATGTTGCAGCATATGTTTACTTATAAAGATCCATATAAATTATCCAAAAGTCTGCTATCAATGTCTATTGATAATCTTATGCGTACATGTCAGGATCGAAGCGGTAGTCATGTGATTGATAGCTTTCTACAATCTCCAGACGTTGAATTGAAACATAAATCCGAATTAGTCGAAAGGTTTGTCTGGATCAAACGGTTTTAAGAATTTCTTATAAATTTAAATTTATTTTTTTTTTCATAGACTTTTGGGTAAATATCATCTGCTTGCATGTAACAAATATGGTTCACGTATTGTTGAAAACATAATGAAATTATCGAATGAACAAGTTCGTGCTGCGATTACACAAGAATTATCAAAAAAAGAATCTTTATTGATGAAAAATCGTAATGGATGGTTTGTGGCAAAAAATGTTGGCATTCATCATTTCAAGACTCGACCAAATGATTGGCGTGATGTTGAACGTGGCAGAATGAGACGAAATCGTGAATTTGGTGAATTTACTCCAATCTCAAAACATCGACCTGGCATTATTGGAGGGGATCGACATAGCAGTAGTGGACGTCCATCATTTGGTGGTAATCATGATCGTCGACCATCACCCGATAGTCGTCGTCGTGATGGTCGTCGATTTGAACGTAGAGGTATCGGACGACGATTCCATTAGGATCGATTAATTCACCAATAGATCTCTCATCTCTATCCTTATAATAAAAAAAAATATATAATTTTCATCAATCGATTTCTCATTAATATTTCTAAAAACGGCAAAGATGAATTATATACTATATACGGCCGACCACAACGAATAATTCCTTATTTCATTTTTGTAAAGTTCATGTAATGTTGATCCTTTTATTTTTTTGTGAAGAAATAAAGTTCGGATACTTTTTTGCCAAAAAAAAAAAAAAATTTTTGTCTATTTTTACTAATTGTTGCTATTTACACCTGATTGGATCAATCACAAATCGCGCTACTAGAATTAATGATGGTAACAATAATAATGATGATGATGATGACTGATGAAAAATGAAAGAGGAAAAATGGCCGCGCCAATATCGTCCATGCATATATGGCTTATAAGTATTCATCCACCAGTATCATAATTATTGACTGTTAGCATAAAATGCAAAAAAAAAAATAATAATGCTCTTCATATTTTAATGCTACTATCACCGGAATACAAAAAAAAATCCCGGATTTATACGTAGTAAAAAAAACCCATAGTAGTGGCACACAAAACAATTGAAATGAGAGAAAGAAATGTTTGTGTAAAAAGAGAAAAAGAAAGAGAGAAAAATTTCTTCATTATTATTAATGATAGTGGTAAAATTAAGATTTTGTGGAATGAGCACCAAAAGTTGACGTTAATGTTATTGTGTGTGTGTGTTGTATGTGTTGTATGTTTGTGTGGTTGTGACGATGCTGTTTGCTTATAATGAATTGATTGAACGAATTTTCATCCATTCATCCAGCACGAATCTCCTCAACATATAAAAATATATATATAATATATATATCTGCAAACAACAACAGCATTGGCAATACAACCACCAGTCGCTAAATCCAATCTGATTTCTTTAGGTCTCAATATCATCATCATCATCATCATTTTTTTTTTTTTGTTTTCATTAATGTTTTTCAATATATAATAATTATCGATAAAACATTTACCTTACATTTCACAACAAAATATATATTATTATTATTATCAGGTCATTGAATCAAGTTATGTTCCATGTGAATCATGTAAACTTTTTTGAGTCAAACAATATCATCATCATAATTATCACAATCAATGAATGATTGAAATTCGAATAATAATTATTTGTTTTTTACTTTCATTGTGTCATTAAATATTGTGACGCACACCCGCACACACACACACACACACACACACTGTATCGACTTTTATTTTTTAATCATCATTTCATCATATTGTACATCTTATCGAAATTCGAAGAAAAGTTTTGATAATCTAAATTGTTAAAAAAATTCAAATTCAAATCTAAAACAAAAAAAAACAAACCAAAAATTACTATCCATCGTATGGATACCGAACAACCACCACCAGCAACGACGACAACCGACATGACTGGAGTAGATTCAATTGCTGGTGGTGATGATGATGGCGTTATTAGTGGTGGTGATACTAGTACGGTTGTTGGTGGCAATATTGACACCGGAACTAATGGTACTCATGGAATGATTGATAAAAATGGTAAAACAGCAACAACACCTATTGATGTAGATATTTTTGGTGGTGATGATTCTGGTACAATATCACAGATTGTAGGCCAATTGGAATCATCAATAGAATCATCTTTCTTGATGTCATTAAACAATAGTGAAAGTGATTCATTGCCACCACCTCCTGTTTTATCATCACCTACATCTCTTTCTGTTCCATCACCATCAATGCATCAACAACAACAATCATCATCATCAACGAATTCACACGAACCATCGTCATTATCAACAAATAATAGTGATAATATATTAAATGATGAATCACAACAACAACTCAATGCTTCATTATCATTATCATCACCACCTATCACTAAAACAACAACGACAACAAATGGATCATTATATAATAATGATGATAATAATTCATTAGATATTCAATCACTATCGACTGATAATATCGATTCAACACTAACAACAAATATCGATGTTCCTATTGGACAACAACAAGTATCGAATGAAAATACTAATGAAGATACATTAATGTTGATGGATCATATTAAAAATTCAAATTCATTATCAACAGAATCTCAACAACAACAACAACATAAATTCGAATCATCATCAACAATAACGAATTCTAGTTTGGCGCAAACGCCATCATTAGAATTTGTAACTACAGCTGCCGCTGCTTCAACAACAAATTCAACAACAACCGGAGGCGGTGGTAAAAGAATTTTATTAAGTGCTAATTCTCCACAACCTGTAAATAGTTCGGTAAGTGAATTTAAATTTAAATTATTAAAAAGTTGATTTTTTTCTAAAAACAATTTGTAATTAGATTTCTAATATGACACAACAACAGCAAACAACATTGTTAAAACCGCATTCATCTTCATTAACGAATGGAACAATGACACCACCAGAATCGCCTTCATTATCATCATCTACAAATTCATCGTCGGTGACTTCGACAGTCACAACATCATCATCATCATCATTAACATCTTCGATACAGCAACCACAGACAATTACAGTCGGTCAATTGAATGCTGCTGTTCCTCAACAACAACAACAACAATCGATTGCAGTTTCACAATCACTTGTTATGCCATCAACAGCTATTACAAATAATACAGCTATGCCGTTAATAACAACACCGGTAACACCATCATTACCGGCGGCGGCTATTCGTTCAACACCTGCGCCGATAGTAACAACACAAATTCATCAAACAAGTGCAATAACAACACCAACAAGTTGTTCGCCATTTGTGATGACAGCGAATCATCAAATTAATAATAATAACAATAATAATGTAACAACGAGAATGCCGATGGCACAGAAATCTGCGCCTATTTTAAATTTACAACATACAAATGGTGGTCAACAACCAATGTTGATACAAACACATCCACCCACAAATCAAACGACGATTCGTAATAACCATCATCAAGTTCAAATGCCACAAGTATCCCTTTCGAATTCAATTGTATTGGATCCACGGGCACAACAACAGGCTCATTTACAGCAACAATTAGCCACTGTTTCCGCACATAATACATCGAATCTACAATTTCAGATTGTCAATGTGAATAGTCCTAGTCATAATCCATTAACAGTGCCTACAGCCGTTTCGGCCCCTGCTGGTTATACTGTTTCGAATATAATAACCGGAACAAATGCCACAACAATTCAAACGAAAACAGGTGCACCGATGCAACCACGTTTGATGCAATTTCAAAATTCTCAGGTACGATTACCTAGTCGAGCGTCAAGTTTTCCAGCTTCGGTATGTTTTTTGTTCTGCCATATTTGAAATTTGTTATTTCATTATAAAAATTTGTCATCTTGACTCTTTAGCTCACACTACCTGGACTAGTTCGTGGACAAGCAATATTCGTCAAAACGGAAAATGGTCAAATGCATATGGTAAATGTTAGTCCACAGGCATTGGCTGCTTCAACACCACCAACAGTAGCTGGACATCAAATACAAACTCCAACACATTTGAGATTACGATTACCAACTGCAACACCACCCGGAGCGACATCCGTACCGACAACTGGTCCAAATGTTTCAATACAACCACCTACTGCTGCAACCATACGAACACAATTGGCCGGAAGTTCGATTGTTTTACCGGCTACATTAGCAGCAGCCGCTGGTGGTGGTAATACACAAGTGGCTACAATTGCAGCGAATAAAGTACCACAAGTATCACAGTTACTTCCACCAACTGTTACATCTCAAATGATTGCCAGTAATGTTTCAATACCGACACCAAGTCAAATAACACCCGGGATTTCATCAACACCCCAATCACCGACACAATCATCTCCATCAAATGCCGCATCAGTTGCAGCAACAACAACTAGTGGACATCCACCCTTAAGGGTACATACAACGGCTGCCAATTCACAGGCCAATTCTGCAGCTCCATCCCAAATGTCACCAACTACAGCAAAAATGAAATGTAAAAATTTCCTCTCAACATTGATACGATTGGCTAGTGAACAACCGGAAAGTGTGGCAACGAATGTCAAGACACTTATTCAAGGACTAATTGTATGTAACCTGTATAATCAAACTCGGTTGTCATGTCATTCTTTTGGACCTATTTTATCCACACTTTGGTTGTTGTTGTTGATTTTTTTAGCTTTTCATATACAATGTAATATGGTCAAAAAACAGAGTTAAATTGAAACCGCGCTAATCGAGGCAGCTTTAAGCGGAGTATTACTGTATTTGATTCCATTTGTTTGTTGTTTTTCGTCATCTTGTCGCTATAGTATTTTATTTGTTTTTCTCTTTTCAAACCAATAGTATACCTATAGTCTATTTTTTCCTTTTCTATGCATTCAATATCATTTAGCGCCCAACAGCGAACCAACACAGTATAATACCTGTGACAATCGACAAAATTGAAAATATAATTTAGAAAATTTTTCTTTTAAATTGTCCATTTTAATAATCATTTCTATGTTTTATCAGGACGATACGATACAACCAGAAGATTTTACTACACAATTGCAAAGAGAATTGAATTCCTCCGAGCAACCATGTCTTGTTCCATTTTTAAAGGTTTGATTATTCGGATAAGAGATTTTTCAAAAAATAATAATGATTTTATTTTATTTATTTCCATAAAAACAGAAAAGTTTACCTTATCTTCGGTATTCTTTAATGAAAGAAGAACTGAAGATCGAAGGTGTACAACCACCACCTCCAAGTGCTACAATGTCCTTTCCAAATGTTAATGCAATGGCAGCTGCGGCTCAGAATTTGCCTCATATTCAAGTAATATTGAATGTACACATTTCTTAAAAAGAAAAATTCAAATTTTTTTTTGTTGCAGAATATCAGTCCGGTTCCTGCTGTACCACAACCTCGGCCATCATTACCAAGTCTTCGTCTATTAGCTCCGGGTTCTAATCTATTGCCGGCTGGAAATGTTCCTGCTGGTTCCCAGATTATAACATCATTTCAACCACCACCACCACCTCAACAACAATTAATTCAGCCACCCGGCTCTACTTCCAATCATCACCAACAACAAAATTCATTAGGTCCTATAGTTTTAGCATCGCCAAATCATCATCCACATGGTCCAACAATTGCTACTCATTCAGGTCATCAACATCCTAGCTTAATTTCAATGTCTTCAAATTTACAAACAACAAATACCTCATTATCTCATCCTCGTTTACCACCACCCATTCATTCAACTGTTCAGCCACCACCTCTACCGCCATTATCATCACCTGCGTCGGTAGCAACGGCAACGCCGTCAGTGCAAACACTACCAACTAAGTCGAAAAAATCTAGTTCAAAATCAAAAGCGAAATCAGAAAAAGCAAAAAAAGAAAAAGAAGAAAAAGCTGCGGCTGCTGCAGCTGTTGCTGCATCGGCGACATCATCATCGACACCTTCCGGTTCCAGTATTGGCCCTGGTGGTGAACGTAATGCCACAGCAACTGGATCTTCATCATCTTTCCGTGATGATGATGATATCAACGATGTGGCGGCAATGGGTGGTGTGAATTTGGCCGAAGAAAGCCAACGGATATTGGCCGGTAATGCCGAAATTATTGGGCAACAAATTCGTTCTTGTAAAGATGAACCATTCTTATATACATCACCATTACAACAAAAACTAAATAAAATAGGTAAACGAAAATATAAAATAAAATTAAGACACCCAATATACTAGTACAACTGTTGCCATGGTGAAGAATTTTGAATGTTGAATTCTCAAAGGATCTTTTGTTGTTTTTTTCTTCTAAACTCCAGTCAAACGATACGACCTCGAAGATTGTTCGCATGATGTTGTTGCTTTGGTTTCACATGCTGCCGAGGAACGTCTGAAAACACTAGTCGAACAACTAGGAGCAATTGCAGAACATAGACAAGAAAATCTACGGGTATGTCTTTTTTTCTGATCATTTGAATAACTGTTTCATTTTTATTTATATTCATTCCAGAATAATTCCAACTATGAAATTGTCCAGGATGTGAAAGCTCAGGCACAATTTCTACAGGAATTGGATCGAATCGAAAAACGAAGACATGAAGAACAAGAAAGAGAAGTTTTAATAAAAGCAGCTAAAGTAAGGATTTTGGCTTTGAAAACGAAATTTTTAATTGTAATCAAATTTTTTCCAGAGTCGATCCAAAGTAGATGATCCTGATCACATTGCAATCAAAGCAAGAGCTAAAGAAATGCAACGTTTAGAAATGGAAGAGCTACGTCAACGTGAAGCTAATAAAACTGCCTTACAAGCTATTGGTAATCCAAAGAAACGATTAAAAACAATGACCAATTCCAGTTCCACAAGCTTATCTTCGTTGAATGATAACGGTGGTGGAAGTAGTTTCAGTCCATCAAATGGCAGTGTCAAAAAAACAGCGGTCAATAACAGTATAAATATTGGCCAATCATTATTTGGTTCATCATTTGGTTCATCTAGATCTGTAAGTTTTCAATTAAGGTTTTCACATATTGAAACTAATAAAATTATCCTCATATATAGACTATTAAACGATATAAACGTGTTACAATGAAAGATGTACTATTTATGATGGAACGTGATCGTACGATGGTTCGATCTGCTACATTATTTAAAGTTTATGCTAGATAACATTAATCAAATGAGATATAAATGTTCATTTAGCCACTTGTTTTAAAATCATCATCTATGATTGAACTTGACCATTGTTTTTCTTCACTTGATTGTAAATTATCACCAGATTTTTTTTTAATTTCATTTATAAATACAAATGTTTCCTTTTTGTCTTTGTCTGCCATTTCAGAACAAACTCAAGTGTATTTAATTGTTTTTGGTGTTGAGAAAAAAAAATTCTTATACCTCTTTGTTCATATTTACAAAAAAAACACACACACACACTCACAAACATGTGGATTCTTATCTTTATTTCGTTGGCCCTATATGTATAAATATAAAGAATATTTGATATTCAAAATTGTATTATAAAAAACTTGAAAAGAATATTCTTCGATCAATCTCGATCGATCTATTATTGTTGTAATTTTTTTTTCTTGCCACTCATCATCAAATGTCTGTTTTTTTTTTTTTTTTTGATTCTTTAGAATCAAAAATGATGGCGAATTTTTTTGCACAAATCAATCAAAAAAAACGAATGAATGAATGAATGAAATCGAGAGTCAATTTCATCGAATTATTTTTAATTTTTTTTTTCTACTTTTATTTCTTTGTGTATAACAAAAAAAATCAATCTACTATATTGAATGAATGAATGAATAAAAATATTGTAAAAAATGGAACTATTCAGAAATTAAAAAATTGGAATTTTCCCATTTTGATTTTGAATTTCTCCCGCCATCTATGTATGTCATTTATGAAAAAAGTAAATCTTGTGAAGAGGAGAAATGAAAAGAAAGAAAGACAAAACGAACAACGTTACTCTCTCACTCGCTCTTAAATAATTTTTGTAAAACGAAAAGCGAACAATGGAATATCGTGTGAGTTGTTTGTTGAGTGAGCACACCACCACCACCACCACCACCACCACCATCATCATTATTATATGTGTGTAGAATGGAAGCAGCACCATCGCGGTGTGTGTGTGTGTGTATGGTATATCTCTTTGTGTGTATGTGTGTGTGTTGATTGAGTAAATTGTCTATTTTTCAAGTGTTGGTTTTCATTTTGTGATGATTTGTATGGAAAACTCATTTGGTGATTCGATTTGATGATGTTGATGAATTGAAAAACTCATTTATATTCATTAAGATTAAGTTTTTCAGTGTTTAAATTTTTTTTTATTTGCTGATAAATTATTCGTCATTGTCATTTTCATTTGATTTGAAAAAATTCCTGTTTTCGATTATTTTTTTTTTTGTTTGGTTTGGTTTGGTTTGATTTTGATGAATCTGATATGTAGCTTTTGTTTGTTTGTGTGTGTGTGTGTGTAAAGTTTAGTTTTAATACGCTTTTTTTGACCGATAATCAAAGAATTTGTCATCATCAACATCGCCATTAAGACTATTTTTTATTCATCATATTGTCATTTTTTTTGCTATTGTATTGATCTCGATTGTAAATCAATTTGAATTTTTTTCAATTTTCATTGCTTCTACAACCCATTTAACGCGGTGGACACGTTAATGTCATCATCATTTTCATATATAGTTCAAACGTTCAATTTTTTTTTACTATAAATAAAACGTTCAACTCATTTGCTAGTGAATTTCATTTTGTTTTTTTCTTTGGTTTTTTGCACATCATAAATTTTGTATCTTCACGTGTTTTTTTGTGTTGATTGATAATCCAATCGTTTTTGTCTTGTTTGTATTGATTATTGGTTATCAATTTCTGAATTGAAAAATGGCTACATCATCAATGAATCCAACCCCATTTTTTGGGTCAAAAATTTCATTGATTTCTAAATCGGAAATTCGTTATGAAGGTATTCTCTATACTGTTGATGCAAAAGAGTCAACTATTGCTCTTGCTCAAGGTAAAATATTCATTGATTTTCAATTCTATAAATAATCAATCGAATTCTTAATTTTAGTACGGTCATTTGGTTCGGAAGATCGTGTCGTTGAGAAACCGGTACCGCCACGAGATGAAATATTTCAATATATAATATTTAGAGCATCTGATATCAAGGATTTGATTGTGGACAAACCGCCATCACCAGCATTGACTGATCCTGCCATTATACAAGCGGTATGCTATTTTTAGAAAAAATATTGCATGTTCTGTGTTCCAAACAGTTGAAATATTCATTTTTATTAGCATTCGACAACATCTCAACCATCACCGTTCCCATCATCATTTCCGCAGACTTCAGCCGGTGGACCAGCCGCTGGTGTCAATGCCGGTCAATCTGGTTCTGGTGCAAGCACTTCGGCCTCATCAATTCAACAACAATTACAGCAAGCTGGTATTCAGAGTGCTTCGACTGCCGCTGTTGGATCGAAATCATCCGGTGGTCAATCATCTGTTAATGCTGTGCAACATCCAGAATCCTCTAATAAACAAGCTAATAAGCCTAATGCTACAAGTGCGCAAATTGCTTCAAGTTCTAGTGGTAGTCAATCACATCAAGGATCGAAAACTCCTGGTGGACAAAAACAATTACCACAACGCACTTCGAATCAATTGAATCGTCAACAACAACAACAACAACAGGCATCAACATCATCATCGCAACAAAATAATCGTCACGATGGATCAAGTGGTGGAGCATTCATGAATCGGCAAAATAATTTCACCAATAGACGCATGAATATAAATCAATCACGTGGTGGTGGACAGATGAATGGATTTCAACAACGAAATGGTGGCATAAGTATGGGTGGCTTTCAACGAACCTCATTTTCTAATAGATTTCAGAATCAACATGGTGGTCATCGCCAGACTGGTGGTATCAGTGGCTTTAGTAATTTTAATCGTCGACAGACTAATCGTAATTTTGTTTCAAATCGAAATGTTGGACATCATACAAAACCTACATTGAATTTACCTGATTCAGATTTTGATTTTGAAAAAGCCCTAGATGAATTCAAACAATTAGAAGAAAAATTGGCCGGTTTGAGAGTCAATGGTGATTCAACGAATGTTGCTACAAGTTCTGATGCTGAAACATCTAATTCTAATAGTGAACAAACGAACGCTGCTCCTAAAACGGAAGTCGATGCATCATCGAAAGAAGGTTGCTATAATAAGGAAAAATCCTTTTTCGATCAAATTTCTTGTGAAGCTTTGGAACGAGAAAAAGGGTAAGCTATCATTTGTATCTACCGTTGACGTTGATTAATTCATTATGCTTTATAAATTTTTAGAAATGTCCAACGTGTTGATTGGAAAGCCGAACGAAAATTGAATCGTGAAACGTTTGGTGTTGTTGCTCCGATGCGTCGTAATAATGGATACCGACCAAACAATCGTTTCGGTGGCTATCGTGGTCATCAACATAATTATCGAAGTCGAAGTGGTCAACGAGCTAATTATTCAGGTGGATATACGGCTAATAAACCTCAACAAAATGGTGTACCCAATTCGAATGCATCCTCAACGACCAACAACAATACAACCGCGGTAGCATCAACTTCTGCTGCTGCTGCTGCTGCATCCGTTTCATCATCAAATCTGGTACCCGTATCGCCGGCTAAAAATTGAAATTGCTTACACTATTGACCGTCGATTACATCTTTTTTCGGCCGTTATCTCCATTAAACCAATGAACATTCTCTTTATTTTCAAGAAAATTTCAATTTCATTTAAACTTCGATTTGTGCCGTTCCACACATACACACATACAACAACAATCACATTAATTCATATATATTTCTGATGTTCTCTTGCTCTTCACACAATTTTTATTGAATGTGAAGAAACATACAATTCTTTGCTTAGTTTTTCAATTTTTGTTCTGTCACCATTTGTCCACACACACACACACACACACACCCAACCGCATATACCCACCAACACACACTTATATCACACACTATTGATAATGATATGATAATTTTGAAATCTACTTTAATCTTCGAATATCAAATTATATTTTTGTTGATTGAGAAAAAAAATGGTTTTTTTGGATAAAAAAAAAACATCTTAAATATTTTAGCGACATCAGTCATCACCATCACTAATAAATAGATGTATAACCACAAACACATATATAAAAACTATATATATTTGAAAATGTTTTTTCTCTTTCATAACTCGTTGAAATTATTGTCACCAAACAATTGTATCTAATGAATGTCTGTCTCTATTATCAGATGGTTTTTTTTCATCACTTTGAACAAACGAAAATTTTTTTTTTTCTCCTTTCCCTGAACACACCACCAAACAAATTCTGATACATACAAATTCTTGATTATGATTATATATGGATTAATTATATATCATTCATTAAATATTACTGTATAACGAGAGAGAGAGACAGAGAGAGAAAGAGTAAAAAATACAAATGAATTCTACATCTTTTCTTATTAATACACAGTTTATTTCAAATACATCTAAAATGGATATATATCGTAGAATTTTTTTTTTTTGTCTTTTGTTCATCAATAATGATTTTTATGTATACTTTTAACACATCATACACCCACACACACACACACACCTATACAATGGAAAAATGAATACAAAATACATCCAAAGAACATCAACATGAAAGAATCCCGAAAATTTTTTTTATAACCGAATAAGAAGGAAAAAAAATTTCCATCATTCAATTTATTTCTAATTATTCAAAAAAAAAAAAAAAAAAAGAAATGAAATGTTTTTTTCAATTATCATATAAAGAATAATTTGATTTTTGATGATGATGACAATGATATTATTAAATCAAAAAAAATTTCGAATTTCATTGTCACAAATTGATTCTAATATTCTTTCATTATTATTGCCATTTTTTTTTGACTCTATTCAAATTGTGTTCCAATTGTTTGTTCCATTTGAGCATCTCTATATTTTTTATGTTCTTGACAAAATAATTGTTGTGTTTGTTGACTTTGCATAGTGGTCAATGTAAAAGCAGCAATCACATTGACCACTGCTAAAATTGACCATGAACGACGATTTTTGATAAACATTTGTTTAATAAATTTTTCCCAAACATATTTTCTCGACTCTGGTCGTATGCCCATATCATCAGGTATTGGTTGTGTTAGAAATTTAGTTGCATAATATAATGATGATCCTGTAATAAATACAATTGGATATAACACTGATGTAATTAAATGTGATAAAGTTGATCTTATTATTTGTTTATTATGATTTTCAATCGGATTAGCTAATATTGGACCAGTTATGAAGACAAGATGAATAGCAGTGCCCATGATTGTCTGTATTGGATTGAAAAAACAACATCATCATCATCATTTTAATTTATCATTGATAAAATCATTGTCAAACATACCGAAAAGGCCAAAACTGGACCCATAGTACTGACCAATGCTATATTTCTACGTGTTAATCCGAAAAATCTTCGAATCTGATTTCCGATAGCAATATTGCTTATCACATTCAATGAACAATAAAATTTATTATCATGTTCAACGGCCCATGTTTCCTTCCAATCATAATGGGCAGATATTTGCCAGAATTTATTTAATCGTTTTAAATAATCTGGTTCATTTGGCCAAAATGGACATGATCTATATATACTGGATTGTTGGACAATCTGTTTCAATAAATTACGATCTATTGATGATGATGATGATGATGAATTCATATTTGATGAATTTGATTCATTTTCAATAACACATGTATGGATGACCAGATGATATGATCAGATGACTGACACGCCATCTGTTAAAGAAATGATGAAAAATTAAAAGTTGTTTTTTTTGTTGTTCCATAAAAATCAAAATTTAATTCATTCATAATATTCAATAAATAATTAAATTAATCAAATTATTAAATATAAAGACAGAAACTTTCAATGAAAAAATGTGACAATTATTGTAATAGCTTGATCCATAGTGGTGGTTACTTACATTATCAGTATCATATAGTATATGGATTCACGAAGCAAAAAAGGTAAAACAACAAAAACTTCTACAAGCAGTAGAAGAAAAGGTAAAACAATTCTTAAGAGAATAAAATCAAGTGATGGTAAAAAAATGAAAAAAAATAAAGATGAATCAAGAAAGTTATCCATTTCGAAAAAAATGGCTAAAAGTCCATTGAAAATGAAAAATATTTCATTGAAAGATCCATCGTTGTTAATAAATAGTAAATCACCATCAAAAACAACAACAACAACAACGGCAACAACTTTTTCGCCAGCTACGACAACAAAAGAGTTAATCAATAGTAATCAGATAACAACAGCATTATTACCAGAAACATCGGATATTCCATCAAAAAGATATATTGTATCACAGGGAACAACAAAAACGATTGGTGACGAAAAAATGGAAAAAACAATAATTGGAATACCGGATGAAAAAGAAGATGAATCAATAACAGCCAGATCGGTGACGACAACTGTTGCTGTTACGTCGCCACCAACAAAGGCTAAAAATTTGAATGAAATTTCTACATTGAAAACACAGCAAACAAAAATATCGATACAACCACCGATCAAATCACCATCGAAAAAAATGAAAACTTCTCCAACCAAAATGGATAAAAGTAATCACAAATCACCAATCGTGATGAAAACAAAAAGTCCAACAACAATATCTAGAATAAAATTGGATACTGGTGTTAGCTATGGTGGTGGTGTCGGTACAAATTATGTAACATTGTTGAAAACACGATCACAGATGAAGAATTCGGCTGAAAATGATAAAACGGAAAATGTTTCAATAAAAACGATGAAATTTATTAAAACTAAATTTCAACCGGCAAAAACTGGAAAATCAAAAACGAAAAAATCTCGTAATAAATCAACAAAAGGAAAATCCACCAAAGATAAAACAATGAATGTGGACAAAATTAGCAAAAAAATGTCGACAAAAAAATCTAAAGTAAAAAAATCTCCTACTGGTGGTAGTCCATCAACGAAAACAAAACGAAGTAAATCAATGGCAAGAATGGCGACTAAAACGGGTGGAAAAACAGTGATGTTTAAAATGTCCAAATCGAAACCATTAACAAAAACCAATTGGAAATCGATATCGAAAAAAACGAAAAAATCACCAACAGACAAGACGGCGGCGACGACGACGACGACGACTATGGCAACATCTGTTGAAAAAATAAGTCCACAATCAGTATCACCATCATCAACAACAACGAAAATAGACACCACAACCATTAAGCCACAAGCATCGGCGACAACAACTACAGTATCCAAAGAAAACTTAACAGGTCCAACATCATTTAGTTTGGCAGATTCTAAAGCGATTCCAGAATCGACTCATGTTTTGATTTCACCATCAATGACTAAACAACAGTCAATATCACAATCATTATCACCATCAACAACAAAAATACAGAATACAATAGCCACTGAGAAGTTTGACGATTCAGTTGAAATTTCCAACAGAACACCATCATCAACAAAAACAACAACAACAACAAAACCAACTATGACTGTAATTTCACAAGAATCAACCATCAAAGAAAAATCAACATCTAAAAAATCAATGATGGACATTACGAAAAAAACTAGAAGCAAAAGTCATAAACAACAACAACAACAAACATCACCGGCTGCCAGTTCAATGAAAAGTGGTATGATTTTTCAATGAAAAATTTTTTAATTAAATTCTGATCAAAAAATTTTTTTTTCAATCAATATCAATTTTTTTTTAGTGGCTTCAAGTACTGTGGACAATTATGGTGAACGAGATTCGTTATTTTTTCGTTGTCCAACCGTTTATGGAGAAACGGATGAAGATGATGATCTAAGAGTTCGATTTAATCCATTTCTTGCTGGTGTACCATTCTATACTCATTATGATGCTGAAGGTAATTTTTGAAATTTTTTTTATGGCAAAATATCTTGATGATAAAATTGTTGTTAATTAGAACTGGATAAAATGGTCGATATAAGGCATGGTGCCGGTCATTCGACAAGTCAGTCAAATTTATTATCTCGACGAACATCGAAGACGACCACACAATCAATGACTAAGATCGTTCCAACACCGATGACTACGGAAGTGGAAAAAACCAAAGAAATCACAATAGAAGCCACATATCTGGATAATGCAACATTATCAACAACATCAACTACTGGATCATTACTATCAAAAGCATCGATTTCGGTCAAGCCAAACGATAATAATTCATTATCATCGTCATCATCGTCATCATCATCATCATCATCATCGACTTTGAAAACAATTCCTGAAAAAAGTGGCCGTACTAAAAGTGAAAGTAGTGTATCATCTAAAAATAATAGCCGAATAAGTCAAAAGTCAAAAAAATCAAAAACAACAAAAAATAACAAAAGTAAAAAAACGACAATTAAAAGTTCAAAAAAACAACCAAAAACCAGTAAATCGACACGAAAAAGTAAAGCAAATAAAAGTGTTTCAAATAGTAAGAAGAAAAAATGATTTCCGATAAATAAACAAACGAATGTGTTGTGTTTGTGTGTTTTTTTTTTTTTTGGGTAAACCACATGTGTGAAAATAGATGCCACAGTTTTTTTTGTTTTGCTTATTTGGCAAATCTCGTGTTTTTTTTCAATAAAATATTTTTTCAAATTGTTAATTTGAGTTTTTATTTATTTATTTGATATCTTAAAAAACATGGCTGTAAGATTGATTTTATCTTCGAATCGATCAATATTGATTGTAACTGCTGAATTTTTTGTTTTGTTTCAAAAAATTTGCTTTAGGGTCCAACGAAAGGAGGTGGTAAACAAGCTACCAAAGGACAGAAGCAAATTTATCTGGAAAATAAAGAAACAATCAAACATTATACATACATGTCTTCCATATCGACGGTATTTATTGCATTGAAACTATTTTTAATGTTTGTTATCAAATTTATCTGAACACTTTTTTTCAGCTAATTTATTTGATTCTAATGTTAATATATTGGAGAGATTTATTGTTTACATTCAAATATATTGTGAGTATAAATTTTTGGCCAAAACAGCAGTTACAGCAGTCATCTATCTAAAACAAAAATTTTATCCAAATTAAAGTTGGGATTCATTTACTGTATAATTGTTCATGGATTTTCACTTTCAATGATGAAATATATGGCAAAGCCGGTATTCAATTCTACCGGATCATTGGTGGATGGTGGAACTGATCTTAATATGGAAAAAGGATTTGCAGAGTAAGTTTTAATATTTTAAACTTTCATTCACGATTAAATAAATTTAACAAATTTTTTTTCTCGGTTACAGACATTTTAAAGATTTAATTATCATCAATTCATTGATACAAGTTTTATCATTGATTTCCAATTATTTTTGGTATTGTTGGTGTTTTGTAAGTTTGTTTTTTTTGTTCACTATTCTGCCTAATTCTAACTTTGGTTCGATTGTTAATTCTACCACACACAGGTACCAATATATGCATTCTATTCATTATGGGTGAACATTTTAGGACCATGGTTTTTTGCACCACCACCACCAGAAGAGCAAGTGGATGAAAAAAAACAACGAAAAATGGAAAGAAAAATGCGTCGTGTAGCCCATTGAACTTTAACACAACAATAAAAAAAACAATACCAAAAATTAAATGTGAAATAATTTTCATCAAAAAAAAATTGATTTAGGTGTTTTTTTTGTATTTTAAAATTATTGTAAAAAAAAAAAAATTTCAATTGAAAACTGTATTGTTTAAAAATTTCACTAGATGGCGTGCACATAAACATGAATGATTCCACATTGATTCTAGCTCATTTCTAAAAAAAAAACGTTTTATTTGTGTAATTTTATTGAAACATAACTACAGAATCTTTGAAAATAAAAACATTTTAAAATGTCAACTAGATCTACAAGAAGACATGTTAATCGTGCCATTGTTAATTATGAATCTGAAAGCGATTCGGTCCAAACAAATGCTCCTGGATCATCAGGTGGTACTAGAAAAGTTGCATCAAATAATAGTGCCGATATTATGTGTTGTACGAATGAAACCGATTTACAAATTTTGATCTCCAATTGTATTCGTCACATACTGCTCAATGACTATTCGAAATTGTTAATCAAACAATCAGATATCAATAAATATCTAATTGAAAATGTCATTCTTGGTCGTATACAAATCAATCCACTCATTAAAATGGTTTGTCCTTTTAGATTCCTAAACCATACTTTTTTTCAATCAATTATTTTTTAGCTCAACCAGCGATTATGGAAAGATTTTGGAATGATTCTCATAGAAGTTGAATGTTCACCAAAATCATTCATTTTATATACCATCTATAAAAATGATTTGTTTGCATTGAAAGAAATGAATAATAAGGATGATGATGAAATTGAATTTGATACAACTCTAGTACCGGATGATTATGATGATGAAATCACGCCTAATTATGAAGATGATAGTAATTTTGATCATCTAACTTATGATGAAGTTTTTGATAAGAGCAAAAACACATTGATTCTCTTCATTTTGTCATTTATTTTGATTGAAGACGAAGAAAAAATATCGGAAAGCGAATTATTTTCAGCGTTAGAAGAAATAGGTCTTTATCTCGATCACAAATATGAAATAGCACATGATTGTGCCAGACAGAATATTCGTGAATTAATCTCCAAAGAATTTATACGTAAATCATATTTAAAACGAACAAAAAAACCAAATTCTGATACAAGTCTACCTGCCGATTATTATTATGAATGGGGAATTCGTTCAACGTTTGAATTTAAAAGATTGGATGTTTTGAATTTCATTAAAGATATTTACAATTGTGATGAAGTTCATATGAATTTGTTATTTGAAAAAGCAAAGAAAATGGATCAACAACGTGAAAAATTAATTACGAATGCCATCCGATCTGTTGATCATAATTATCCTATTGATAATAATCAAATCTCAAACGATTTAAATGGTCATATAGAAATTAGTGTAAATGAAAATATTACTCAACCAAGACGATCACAACGACATTCACAAATCGAAACTCAGTCTACTTCTTCATCAACAAACTATCGTAAACAACAGAAAAGAGTGGCTGAAATTTCTTCAATTTCAGAAACAACAACATCATCATTACCATTACCATCACCACCACCATCTAAACGGTTGGCAACAAGACGATCAACTCGATCAACTAGAAAATAAATTAAACACAACAGTTTAATTATATACTGCCATTATTTTTGTTATAATGATAATGTAATAATGTAATTAATGGAAAAAAAATTAATAAAATAAAAACTTTAAAATGATGACTAATTTTTTCATATTTTTTCTTTAGAATTAAAATTTTAGAAATAGATAAATATATATACTTTTTGTGTAACAAGAACTGTTTAGTTAAAGATGAATAAAAAAGAACAACAACATATGGCCAACAACAACATACCGAAACAATGTTCAAATAATGATTGTAGATTTTATGCATCCGAACAATTCAATGGTTTCTGTTCAGCATGTTGGAATAAACAGATGAAATCAATGATTCAACAACAACAACAACAACAACAACAACAACATGAACAAAATAATATACGTCCATTACCAGAAATATTAAGGCCAACATCGCGAACAACATTTCGTTCATCAAGTTATGAACGTTCGAAAAATTCCATACAAAAAATTGCCAAATCATCTCATGTATCAATCAAATCGATACGAATGGAATTGGATATGATTCAAAATAAAATTAATAGTAATGATAATGATGAAATGATCATTATCAAAAATAATTTAACAACTGAATCATTAAATATGGAAAAATCTGATGGTAAAAGTTTGAATAATGTAATAAAAAAGAAAATTAGACGAAAAAAAGAAAACAGCAACAAAAGTAACGAAAATCGATGCCAAATCTGTCCACGTAGTATAAAATTATTGGATTCGATTGTCGATGTGGTGGTCGTTATTGTATTGAACATCGACTTGCTAAAGAACATCTCTGTCAATTTGATTATCGTACATATGGTATTAATGAATTAACGAAAGCCAATCCTAAAGTTGTTGGTGATAAAATTAAAAAAATCTAAGTTTATTTTTTTTCCTTATTATACTTACTTGTAGTTTTTTTTCTGGTTCCCAGAATTGATAATGATTGACAAGGTCGTAGAGAATATTCTGCGCAAAAATCATTTCCAATTAATCAATGAAAAAAAAATGATGTTTGTATGCTGAATTTCTGTTGAATTTCGTATTTTTTTTTGTTTTGTTTTGCTATTTTAAAAAAATAAATCCAATTCATATTTCCAATTCACATCACATCATCATTATATATTAATAATGAATGTTATTATGTTGTATAATTTGTAACCACAAAATGATGTTCCCATGAGATTAACTACACACACGTTGGAAGAATATTCTGTTCTTAAAATTAATATTTCATAACATACATACATACACATCCATACAAACAATCTGGAATTGCAATTTAAAATTACTTTGAAAAATGTAATTTTTTCTCTTTTCTTTATTTTCTTATTTTCTCTATCTCACTTTTTTTTGTTTTCATTCGAAAAAAATAAGTTACACTTTATAATAACTCATTATAATTTCAACTATTTCAGCTTGATATTTTTTTTTTTTTTTAGTTTCAATTAAGATTTTTTTTCTTGGTCTTCATTTACATAATGAAATTCGATACTCATGATCATGATGATGATGATGATGATGATGCGAATGCGTAATATTCACAGAAAACCAGATACTATCAATATATGAACAAGGATGATTCAATTTTTCATTCATTTCTCATAGATGAAATTGGAAATTTGATTAAAGAAAGAAAAAACTTGTATTTAATAAATTTGTCGATTTCAGCCAAAAAAAAAATCGATCCGCATATTCAATTACGTTCGGGTTTCTAATTGAAAATTTTGAATTTTTTTTTTTTACTGTAACACTACATATGAATTGTTTGGTTTGGTTCTAAAATTCTAATTAAAAGTTTCAAATTGATTTTTCTTTTTCATTCAATTTAGCTTTTAGGATATTTTTCTGAATTCTTAATTGCAAAAAAAAAAATTAAACTGACCATTTTCATTTTTTTTCCCCATTCATTGATTTATATGTTAATAATGTTGGTAGTGGCACCATTTATATTGTGTCTTTTGGATGATTTTTCTTTTTCATTGTTTTTTTTCCTTTGTTAGAAAAAAAATTACATGAATCTTAAATAACTGTGAAAAAAAATTTACAATAAATAAATGTCTTTATTACACATCATTATCATTATAGATATTGATAATAATGCGCACACCATAAGCTTCAGAATGATTTTTTTTGTTTGCCCTGGTGATGATAATGATTATAATGAACCCAAAAAAACAAATGTTCAGAGATTCTATTTTCATGCGTGTGTGTGTGTAAAGAATAGTTCAAAAGTATTATGGTGGCGCGGGTACATGCATGTTTCGAATATAAATGTAAATTTCATAAATTAGATTTAGATATTTCCATCCATGAAACGAGAGAATGAGATTTTTATATTCTGTCATTCTATCCATACAACAACAACAACAACACTGCCAACAACAACAGCAGACATGGATAATATTTACCCTTTATAATGAAAAAATTATTACATCAAGCATAAAACCTGAAGGCTGCTGCTGCTGCTGCTGCAGCTGTAATATGAAAGCTAATCAAAAACAAAAAAAAACTCTTGTTGATTAATAATGAGTTCAATTGTCTGTCACAAAAATTTTTCATTTTTTCTTCTTTCGATTTTTTTTTCGTTTTGTCTATAAATACCATTGAACTCATTATTTCAATCATCCAATCATCAAATCCATCAATTTTATTCATTAAACGAACAAAAAAAAATCACGAATATTCAATGATAAAAATAGATTGTCAATAGAGATTCACTGAAGATGATGATGATAATGATTATTCGCATTTCACAATGAAAAAAAAACTTTTTTTTTTAATTGTTATGAAAACAGCCTCGTAATATGATGAATGAATTGTTGATTTTTTTTTCTCATCCACTATTTTTTCTATAGAATATGTTTTATTGTTTGCAGTAAATGTCAAAAGTTTTGTTTTGTTTTGTTTGACAATGTGATGATGTGTAATGCCATTCAAATAATAAAAATGTCCTTGGAAGGTGAATAATATTTATTTATTCATTCATTCATTCATTCATTTTCGCTCAATTGTTATTTTAAATTGTATCCAAAAAAAAAAAAAACAAATCATCTGCTATGATTTTATTTGAATCATCTTTTTTTTGTATTTCAGGTTTCCGGTGCGCGTGTGTGTGTGTGTGTTTTTATGGAAACAACGAATCTAAAGGTAGGAGAAAAACGAATCACAAAATTCATGTTCAATGAAATTCTCATTTCCTTTTTGTTTTTTTTTTTTTTGTTTTTGTTACCATCCACAACAATATTGCTCTGTTGTTTAACACATGAAATTTCCGTGTTTTTCAAAAAAAAAAAAAACAAAACAAAACAAAAAACACATTCATTTTAATTTTCGTTCAATCTAATTTCGAGATAATTTTTTTTTTTCATTTTGATCTAAATCTTGATTATTTTCCATTATTGAATAGTGAATGTTAATCAACATTAGAATTATTTGTCTGATGTCTGACAAATGAATCGATATATTGACAATGGTTACCGACCATAAACCACATTTGCCACATTCAATATATTGACAATTTGAATTAGATTTGAAATATTCTTTTTTTTTCTTGTCCCATATAACAATATTGTTTGTTTGTTTGTTTGTTTGTCTGTTTTGTTGTTCACCAAATTTAATGAATCGAATAAAATTGGCTGATTTGAAACAACAAAAAAAAATCAATCAATTTTTAATGTTGGTTCATTTCATATTTAAATAAGCTGAAATTCGCATAATTTTTGTCAAAAAAAATGGCCATTCGTTATCAGAGAAAAATGGCATGAAAATGGGAAAAAAAATATCCGGAATTCTTGTTATTTAACATTTATAGAAATGAAATACATTTTATTATTAACAAAAAAAAATTCTGGATCCATTTTTCAGTGCAAAAAAATTATGATCATCAAGAATCACAAGGTGGGATTACAAGTACTCTAAATGGAGAAAAAAACAAAAACAAAAATAATTTCCACATGTCGATTGTTTTTTTCTCAATACAATAAACACATTATTCTTTCTTTTAGTTTATGTTACACTAATCATTTGTTAGCCATAATCGAAAAGTAGAATTTATTATTATTATTATTTTGTTGATTGAATAGATTCAGTGCAGAATCGATTTTTCAATTTGATTCGTTTATATTATGGATTTAGCTTGATTATCATCATCATCATCATTATAGCTGTCATTATTACGATAATAATGGTATACATTTGGGACCGAATTAGATGGATAGATGAATGAATGATGATGAGATAAGAAAAAGGAAAGAAGAAAAACATTCAATCTTTCTATATTGATTTGTTTGTTTGTTTGTTTGTTTTGTAAACAGAGATAGTTTGTTATTGAAAAATATAGATCAATATACATTGGCCAATAATGATGATGATGATGAAATATTTGTTATCCATATTATATGGATGATAATGCTGATTTAATCCAGAAATATATCGTAGTGAAATTCCTTGCTAAGATTCTAGTACTTTGGGCTTTTTTGTTTTCGTCATCGTTTTGACAAAATATAGATGTTAAATGACGTACGTTAAGTGCAAATACCAGTGTATTGACCATTGCCAAAAAAAAATTTATTGATTTTTCTTCAAATTTTTTTTCTTTTGCTTCCTGAATGAAAAAAAAATTCCTTACTTCGACCTTTCGGATTATATATTCGACGATGACAATAATTGAGAGACGGAGAAGAGAAAAAGCAATCTGATCAAATTAATTAATATGATATGATTTGGGCAAAAAAAAATTCCCATGAAATGGGGCTAAATTCTTCAGTATTAGGTAATAATAATTGTTACATTTTCTGTACATTACAATGTATAATATGTAGAAAATTATAAATAGTCAAACAAAAATCGAATTCTGAAAGGTCAGATTTCATCCCTTGACGATGATGACGCCCTGGATTTTAATTTATTATTATTATTATTAGAATATTTTTTTTCTCTATTCAAACATTGTCATCATACTATGCTTTGAATGAGCAAAAAAAAATTCGTAGCCTTTATATATAATCACCAGAATAAGTAAACATTTATTGTCTAGAATTTATTTCGTACGTTAAAGGGAATGAAATTGAGGATGATTGAAGAATTGCTACAAAATTATAGCTTAAGAGAGCCAATATTCATGTATCAATCCATTGTGTCACATCAATAAATGATTGGGTTGTTCAAATTTCGAATGAATTGCATAATAATCTGACACGGTAAATATACGACAGTTGAAAAAAAAATCCTTGATGTTTTAAATGCGCAATTTCTAAAACTGGTGCAAATAAACAAACAAACAAAAAAAATACGAAAAATTCAACACCCGGCGCCGGATTCGAAAATCTACGTTGAAACATTTCCAATTTTATTGACATATGCGCATTTGGATATTTTTGCACTTTTTTTTGTGTGTGTGTGTTTATTCGGATAATGAAACAAGAATTCGTTATTCGAATGAACACACACACACACACACACACACACACATCTTCACACACACACTTAGTAAGTGGCAGAGAATTTTTTTCTTTCTACTTTTAATAGTTCCATCGAGACATAAGCAACAACATATCAGGCTAGAAGAATTTTTTTTTTCAAATATATCGACAGTTGGTATCTGGTTATGTATCGATACAGATCATTTATTTAATCGATTCAGCATTATATTTGTTTGTTGTCTTGAAATTGTTTGGTTAAGTTTTTCGTGATTTTATAAATGCAGCTATAAATTGTATACAAAATTAAAATTCTATATTATCATTCTGTAGTTTGTTTATTGATTTTTTTTTCTCTTGTCATTTCACATTTCATCATCATCATCATCATTGTTGTTGTCATTGTCATTATTATAATATATTGTTTTGATTAATAAGGTCACAACAACATCATTTAAAAAAAAAATTTAAATCCAAGCAAA